TTCTGTGCTGTCTTTTGAACTCTGTTCAAAAAGATATTAGTAGATCTGTGTTACAACATGATATTGCTCAGAATGTATGGGATGAACTGAAACGAAGGTTTGGGAAATCTAATGCTCCAAAGCTTGCTAATTTGCAAGATGATATGAATAGATGCAAGTAGGGTACTATGAATGTCACACTGACACAGTATTATATTGCCTTAAAGGGATTATGGGAAGAGTACTAGCAGTATGCACCTATTGTGGGTTGTGACTGTGTAGTGAACATGATTGGACCTTGTGCAACTGTTGAATCCTTTAAGGAGCGTCTCAACGCTGAGTTTTTGATTAAATTCCTTCATGGGTTAAGGCCCGAGTATGAACTGGTGCACAATCAACTACTAATGATGAAACCCCTACCCACTATTGATGCTGCTCTTGATGATGTACTCCAACATGAGAAAAATCTGAAGGGAGACAAAGGAGGTAGTGCCAGAGGGGTTCAGTCTGTTGCTCTTGTAGTTCCAAGAGACAAAGGAAGGGTGTTTGGTGTTGGCAATCAGAACAAGGATAACAGACCTGAGTATGATGGAGACAAGAAGTTTTGCAGATACTACAAAAAGGATGGTCATGTTAAAGAAGAATGCTACAAGCTGAAGAATAAGAAGGTAAGAATGAATGAAGGAGGTCCTGCATTTGCTGGTTCAGTCTCACAATCACCATCCTAGAGCAGTGATTCTGGTTCTTCAGCCAGTGGTATTTTCTTGGAGAATTCCCAGTCCTCCAACTCTCTTAGCTTTACTAATGATGAGCTTGTTAAGCTCAAGTTTCTTCTCCAGCACTCTGATAGCATGAGTCCTTCTCCACCTCTTTCACCATCAATCAAGCATGCAACATACTCAGTTTCTCAGCATTTGCCATCAATGCCTAATTTTTCTGGTAAATTAATTTGTTCTTACATCCCATCTAGAACAAGGTCTTTTAGCTTTGGCACAGAACTGGATATTGGATACTGGTGCTGGTGCATCTGACCATATTGCTTGCACATTATCTTCCTTCCTTAAGGCCAGTCCTGTCTTAGACCAATTTGTCTATTTATACATTGGCTTAAAGGTCCCAGTTAGTCACACAAGATCAGTGAAGCTTTTTTTCAACCTTGTCTTACACAATTTCTTGCTTGTTCTTTCCTTCACCTTTAACCTAGTCTCTGTCAGTAAACTTACAAATGACCTTCCCATTTCTTTGCACTTTGAATCTGACTCTTGTCATATTCAGGATCTCTTAACCAAGAAGCAAATTGGTTTGGCAAGACAGACTAGAGGACTCTATCAACTCCTTCATACAACAAGCTTTCCTCCTCTTCCTCAAGTAGCAGCCACCTACAATTTTCAACCTCATTCATTTCAGCTCTATCATTGGAGACTAGGCCATCCCAGTCAAGCTAGAGAAGATCAAATTCTTGGTTGTAATAGGAGTAATGTCATTACTGTTCTACTTGTCATTTGATTTGATCCATCTAGAACTACGTTTGATCCACGTGCTAGGCAATGCATTTTTCTTGGCTATCCACCTAGCACTAAAGGCTATAAACTCTTTGATTTGAATTCTCACCATCATTTTGTTTCACGAAATGTTGTCTTCTATGAACACATTTTATCATACAAACCTTCCTCTTCTTCCTCTCCTTCTGAACCTGATCCCATTTTTCCTACCACTCACCATTACCTCCTGATTCCTCTTCTTCTTCTTCTTCTTCTTCTTCTTCTTCTTCTTCTTCTTCTTCTCAGAATGCCCCCTTTCCTACTTCATCTCCCTCTCTGGACAATTCTGAACCTAATTCTAGCAATGAGTTGCTTGATATGGCTGGTGTGCATTCTGATGGGGAGGATGAGCCCGAATTGTGTGTTCAAGAAGAGATTGAGGAAGGCCAGGCACATGAATTAAGGAAATCTGATAGAGCTAAACAAATTCCATTATGGCACAAAGACTATGTTTTTTTTGGAGATGTCAGTAAGCACTCTATGTAGCATGTTCTATCCTTTGATCAACTTCCCCAAACCCATAAGACATATGTTTTAAGTGTGATGAGTGTTTTTGATCCAAAAACTTATGAGGAAGCCTGTAAGGAGCTATGCTGGAGAAATGCCATGACTGCTGAGTCAGAAGCACTTGAAGCCAATCAAACATGGAATTGACTCGATACAACACAACTCCTAACAAAGGCCAAGTGTAACCAACGAGAAGCCTCAATTTATAGTTCGGATCTGGCCGTGGAGTGTAGCATGGATCTGCAGAATGGCCTGTGAAGGCCGCCATGGCTAACTCCAGCTCTGATGGCCCTTATGGTTGTGGGAGAAATTCTTCTTGATAAGGAGGTTGTTCTTGATATGCACAGGGGTCTGATTGTTCTCCGTAGTAAGGAGGTTGGTACTGAAACCCGAATCCATAGTCTTCTCCTCCTTGATTGCTCCAGGAAGTCTCGAGATAATACCACTCGGATGGTGGTGGATACCCCCAATGGTTGGAGAAGCCATGAGGATCCATGATTCAGATCTGCACCAACAAAAACAAAAATTAAAACAAAAACACCCAAGTGAAAAGCAAGGGTGGAAAAGAAAAGAAAAATACTAAAGTAACAAACTTCTGTCTTTCCTAATAATCTAGAAAGTCCCCGACAACAGCGCCAAAAACTGGACTCGCTATGACAGAACTCCTAACAAAGGCCAAGTGTAACCAATGAAAGGGACTACAGTATAGTGGCTCAAGTAATACATATCGAATCCACGTGTCTCTAGAGTTACTATTACTCAGCTTTAGTTCGTTATCTAGCAAACCAGATTAAGATGGAACTACTAAAACTACTCTAACGAACTACAGTTAAAGTTAATCTAATTACAGGTTGGGAACTCACTTAGGTATGATTCCCCCTAGCCACTAGCCAAATTAATAATTGATGATTTCTAGCATGTTTCACTTTCATTCACAATGTGGTGAATCCTTGACTAGACCTTGAATCTCGACTAAAGGATCAAGACCCTCTTGAGTCGATTGCCTAGAGGGACGTATCCTTCTCTAGAACAACCGATCAAGGCGTTCTGAACTAGACTTCCTCTATCGAATGAGGTTCTCCATCGATACAAAGCAGTGAATCGACCATTGACTAAAGCAATCGATCTAATATTATCAATCTATGGTGCTCTATTGACCTAATCAGGTTTCGCTATCATAGGTTCAAAGCAGAATCAATAATCTCGACTAAAGCAGAATTGAATCATGAAAACATGCATAAAATGAATATGAACTCAAGATTATCAAGTAGGAGTACTCATACAATCATACAATCAAACAAACATAGCTAGGGTTCCTCAAAACCTAAGTGAAGGGGTGTTACTCCATAGAGAAGAGAGAAACTGCAGAAGAATCTTCAGATGATCAGTCTTCAAGTCCGGGCTTGTTCTTCGAGCTTCCAAGGCGAAGAAATCCTCCAATTCCACTCCAAGATTGTCCTCAAATCGCCCTCTCTCTCTCTTTGGTTCGTCCTTTGGGTTTTTGGGATCCAAAATCCAGCTCTCCCCCTCCAAAAATGCACAAACAGGCTTTTAACAGCCTGCGTTCGTGAAACCCGCTCCAAATACCCGGTCGGGTATCAACAAAATGCTTCGGGTCACTTTTCTGGGCAAAAGGGAATATACCAGGTCGGGTATTTTTGGTTCATGACCGGGGGGGCCTTCTGATGCTGCCAAAAATACCCTATTAGATGGTCAAAATACCTAGTCTGGTATTTTGACCCTACTGGGCGGGTATTTTTCAATTACGGGTCCCTATCTTTGATTCTTCATTTCTCCCTCGTTTGGACTCCAAATCAGGTGTCGTTTGATCCCAGACGCTCGTAGTCTCGTCCTATTTCTTCTCATTAAAAGTTTACATGATTCTATGGTCACAAACGGAGGTAGGAATCCATTCTTCTTCAAGTCATACCCGAGTCGCCAAATGATCTCTGATTGACTTGAAACTTGCGCCTACACTTCACTTTATGTGCTAGGACCTAAAATGTGACAAAGGAACAAAACCTATCGTAAAACAGGCCAAATAAGCGATAATGCAAGCTTAAACGATCAAGAAACAAAGGGGAAAATATGTGCAAATATCGAGTCATCAAATCCCCCCACACTTAATCGTTTGCTTGTCCCCAAGCAAACCCGACTCAAACCAATGAAACTCTCCAGACCTCTACAGAAACACGCAACCCCAATCGTCGGTAGCGAACTTCCTAGATCATTTAGCAGCTCACGAGATCAACCAACGCACAAGGCACCTCCTAGCTTCTTCGGCGAGAACTCTAGTCCCGAGTCAGGATCATGCCTAGTAGTGATCGTAGATCAAACGATCCGTGGATAAAGAGACTCTAAAAAACATAAAGATCATGGACTCACTTTTTTAGTTGCTCTATCTTTTTCTTCAAAGATTGTTGGAAACCCCTTTCTTTTTTTTTTCTTTTTTGTTTATTATTTTTCTTTGCCTGCAAGGGTTCCAACCTTTAATTTCCAGAAAACGTGGCTCCCACCTAGAAAAGGTTTTGAGGGAGCCTGGCTCTTACCGGCCATGCCAGGAGCGACTCTTATCGGCCATGCCGGGAGCAGATGTCTCAAGCCTCGTGCAGGGGAAAGAAATGTAAGGGGGATGGAGGTAGTAGGTGGAAGTTGGGAGCGGATTTCGGTTTCCCCTTACACACTTGCACCGATTTCCAGACGGGAGACATTGTTTTAAAAGCACAGTTTAGAGCACCTTTTTCAAAACATGATACAGGAGTCCATGACAGGTATAGAGTTCACGATACCACAAGATTCAAGTGTCCTAAGATCACTAATTCACACAATCAACCAACACAATATGAAGAAGAAGGGAGACTTCTTAAATGCATCAACATCCTCCATAGTGCTAAACTACCTCCCTAGGTTGCATATTACTATAAAGACTGTCAATTCAAAGCATACTGAGAAGGTAATTGCAAGGAACACATACTTGGAGCCCTCAAATTTAAAAATTTGGACAGTGGACTAGGCTCCAAGCACACACATACATCCAAACATTCACACGCATAAATAATCGAACATCCCCCCCACACTTAAGCCCGACATTGTCCCCAATGGAGGAAAGATAAGGAGGGTAAAACTAAGTTACCATATCAAGGGTGAATGATGGTGATCGGGGCAGACGGTGCATTCCAGGAGGAGAGTGTAGTTGGAACACAAACACCGTACAAAATCTCACAAAGGTTGAGTTATTGACTCTAAAATCAAAGAACAAAACTAACTCAACCAAATCTAAATATCGTTCTTGATTAAATTAAAAGACCATTTCAGGTAATATACGTCTATTCTCCAGACTTGATGAATAAAAATACAATACCACTTATTTAATTCGATAACACTATCAACTTAGCTACAACACCCATTTGCTCATCAATGCATTTAGCAATTTCGAAACAAGTAAGAGCCTAGTTTAAGTCTTGATCTTGGATGTCTTCATTCACCTTCACGAAAAAAAATTCTTCACAATTGGGCGACTCGTACAGATGGCCTCCAATGGCTTCTCTCTAGGCATTGTTGCACCTTTACCTTCAGTCATGTCAACCTCCTCCTCACTCACCCTTTCCCATTCAAAGCATTGAATCAATATCCCTAGTGTCAAGCCCATAAACCGATGGGCAAGGCCTACACCAGGACAAGACCTTCTACCCAGCCCAAAAGGTATCATCTTATAACTTTCCTTCCCTTCATTCTCGTACCTCTCTGGTATGAAACTCGTGGGATCATCCCAAAGATTAGGGTCCCTATGAATAGCCCATGCATTAACCAATAATATAGTGTCGCGCGGCACGTGATACCCTCCGACCACACAATCTTCGGACGACGCATGAGGAACTAGAAGTGGACCAGCTGGATACAATCGAAGGGTCTCGACGATTATGTTCTGAAGGTAAGTAAGGTTGGAAATATCTGGCTCATCTATCAAGCGTTCTTGACCAATTTGCTTGTCGATTTCTTCTCTCGCTTTGAGTAATATGTTGGGGTGATTGAGAAGGTTTGCAAGTGCCCATTCCAAAGTCACTGATAAAGTATCGGTTCCTGCCAATAGCATGACCTGGGAACACCATAATTAAACATGTTTCCAAATAATCAGACATCATGTAAGAAAATAAAGACACATGTTTTGTACAGGTACATTGCTTAGACACGTAATTAGGTATCTGAAAGTGGTAATTAATAATTTTTAACGCGTAATAGCAATTCCAAGGTGTCTGGTGTGGCCTAATTAAGCGAAATGAATGAGCTAGCATTTTAGATTTCAACATGTGATCAGCCAATCGCAACAAGAATAATAAAAATGTCATTGGAATGGAGATGATATACTCAAAAATAATAATATAAAAAAAATTAGGGGAAAAGAAATACATGCTTGTCAATTTTAGTTACGAGTTGACAATATTGCCCATATATAGACTTAATTGGTTAAGAAAATAAAATAAGAGAACACAATTAAAATAACGAAGAGGAAAAGGAAATGGACCACTGGTTTAACTAATGGGTTCCACACATTGTAATTACGCTATAATAATCTTAAGAAGCGTTAAGTGCATTTCACACCAACGGCAAACATAAGCATTGGGTTAGTTAGGTGGATTTTGCCTTCAAATGGACCCACTCGATTAGTAACGAGTTGGTATTATTGTGACCCATTCACTCTTTTTTGAATTTGGACTGGATGAGTAGTGGATGGATGCAGTTGAGTTACATTTTAACTCGCGAAGGCAATTCTCAAATTAGTCATTAGATGAGTTGACTAACATTTATAACAAGTTAATTCATCGCATATTAGGAATATTATATAGCAATTCAGGAGCCTCCCACTTTATTTCTTATCGATCTAACATGTACTTGTGACATGCAAAATTTTATATTTACTCCGATCAACTTTTCAAATGGTCATCTTTAATAAAATAGTCATTGAAAAAGAAAAGAAATCACTAACCACATATCTATAGAGACCACCACACCTCACATATATGGAATTCATTTCTTGGGAGAGGTTATCAATTATTTTGTTAATCCATCAACCAATTATAGAGAAAAATAATACTTTATTGTGACTCTTATACAGTTAATTGTTTGTAATTTGCATGTCAATATCTAATGAACAATAGACAACATAGAAATCAATATTAGTGCCCTAAATATCTGTATTCTTCGGTTTTAGAAGTTGATAGTTAAGTGTGTTGGGTGGTTAGGAAGTATGATAATCCTTCCATCATATGAAAAAGAACAAACTACTTATTATGTAAAAGTGGGTTACGGGTCATTCATGTGGCTCGCAATTCACCCACCCTCATAAATGCGAATACGGGATTTACCGACCCTCGGTTCACCTATATGAATCACTAACCTAAAATATTTGAATTATTTACGATTGTATTGATATCAAACCTTGGATCAACCACCCACCTATCCACCGCTTGCTATTGTGCCCACTATTATCAATTTGTCCTACCCGGACCCTGGACTCTGTGAGAAGGTAATCTGCAATTCTAGGTCAATCTAGAAATGCAGCAACAAAATATATATCCATCCAACTACTACCTATAATAATGAAGCAAAAATATCCTAACTACATCCAACTAGCTTGGAATAAACTCAACCACATATCAGACCAAACTCCTAATAATTAAACTCTCTAGAGAATTCTATGTAAAGTGTTGGCCGCCTAGAGTGGCAGTATAAATAGATGCCAAATGTGAGATGTAGGGAGAGCGAGAGAGCAAAGGCATAGCTCCTCACCTCAAAAGGATTAAGGCAATAAACTTGCCTAATTCAAATGTGGGAGAATATGAGGGTTGAGTGTTTGTGAGGGTAAAAGCAGAGCAATAGCATAAGAGTCGTAACTCTTAATGTATAAGGCAAAAATTGTCTATTGTAATATTGTTCTGTTAAAAATATTAGAGTGAAATAATTTCATCTGATATTTGATCCTAAACCCACTACATATTTTCACTATGTCCAACATACTCTATCTAATTGACCCAATAAAGTAGTTTTCTAAGAGTATCCACATTGGTATTGAATTTTCAATTGCAAATGACATGACATAGAATTTTGCAATTGCTAACCCAACTGCATTGATGTGGCTAGTATTGCTTATTTGCAAGTTTGCAACAAATGGAATTGGATATGAAAGCCAAATTGGCCTAAAAAAGTGGGATTCTTTATTTTCTTTTCCCTTTTATTTTAATTTTCATAATTTAAAAATAATATTTAATTACATATGCAATTGCATGTGGATTGAATTGATGCAGGTGCAATGATATTAATATGAGTTAGATTACAAAAATATTTAGGTGGCAAATGAAAACCTCATATGCAATTGGTTTTGCAATCGCATTGATGTGCATGCTCTAATAATGTATTCAGGGCCCTCAAATACAATTGGTTTTGCAATCGCATTAATGTGCATGCTCTAATAATGTATTCAGGGCCCTCACCATGTGCCTTTGTCTTTGTGAGCTTTAATAAAAAAATCATTTCATTTCACTGTTCCTATTGTAAATTATGCCCTAGCTTGTGCTAGTATATATGTTGATGTACAACCTTTGTCCGAGGTAACCTAATAAGAGAATCCTAGCATTCTGTGGATGTATATCTCTCACACTGTGAGGCCGACTTTGGCGGGAGCAGTTCCTGTGCATAATTCTATGGTGAGTAACTATGAGTATTCCCATCACAATTTGCCACATCAACAACTCTTATATCTCTTGGAAAGTCATTAATTTTTCCCCTTTAATCTTTAACGGATGATTTCTCACTCGTTTTAAGTAAGAATTTAAATTTTTTTTTGCACAGTTAATTGTGCTCTTCAAAATGATATCCACTTTGATATATTTCTGGAACAAAAAAATTGAGTCATTTTTTACCAGTATATACTATATGGTATTGACTGGTATTAGACAAGAGCATACCATATGGTATGAAAAAGCTTACCATGGTGTAGGGGTGGCTATACGGTCCGGTCCGGTTAAATTGGCCCAAATTGATCCGGTCCAGTCCGGTTTTTTTGAGAATATAAGGACCGAAGATTGGATACAGTCCTGTCTTGATCCGGTCCGGTCCCAATTTGGTCTTGATTTTATATTGAGATTGTGGGAATTTGAGTGGCCTAAGGCCTAAAAGGGTGCGGAGTTGGTTAAGTTTTGTACTAAGTGTAAAGGTTTGTGACCGTTTATGCAAATTATCCTTAAGTTTTGGGTGTTGAGCTCTCTTAGCCGGTCTTTATCCGGTTTTTTACCTCAAATCTAAGCCCAAAGATTGGATTGGATTGTTTACTATCCGGTCCCGGTCCGGTCTCGGTCCGGGTTATACGGTCCGGTTTCCGGTTTTTCATCCGGTCCCGGTCCAAATAGCCAGCCCTACCATGGTGGTATGAACATACCAAGACTGTAGGATGATTGAATACATGATAGTAGGAGTATACTAACTGTCATTTACGACTTTCAACATTGTGTACCACAAGATACCACCCTTTACCAGGGTGGTATTTTTGGTCATGTATTTTGTTCACCCAGAAATTTGTAGATCTAATAGATCATGATAAACTCGTTCATTCTGTGCAAAAGTTTTTAAAAACGACTTAAAAATGAAGAAAATACCATATGATATGCAGTTGGTAACGACAGACAATAAAATTTTTTTCTAAAAAAATATTGAAAATGGATCTCATTTTGTAGAGTACAACGGACTCGTTCCATCTGTGCAAAAAAAAAAAAAATCCAAATTAAAACGAAGAAGATATGAGCCAATTAAAAAAAATAAAGGAGAATAAAAATGTGTTTAATTCTCCACTCTTAAATATGATTTTTTGGGCTCATTTAAGTCTGATAGCTAATATTTAGTTATTCATTAGTTAGTAACCAGAGGTTATTGACCATATCGTGGGTCGACTTTGTCCTGATGTAACCTAGTAAGAGAATCCTACCATTCTACATTTCTACGGATGTATGTCTCTCACAATGAGGCCGAATCATGTTATTTTAACTGAATCGCTAAATGTCGCCCTTAAAATTGCTAACGGTCGCCCTAACTCTAATGATAAATGACTTATATACCCCAATAAAATTTCAAAATTTAAACAAACCAAACAATCCCTAACCCCTCAAACTGAACCTCTCATCTGCCTTCTTCGCGAATCCCTCTCGACGCACCAGTTCGTCGGCGTCTTTCCCGCCGTCGTCGTCGCCCGTTCTCTAACGAAATTTCCAAAAAAACGCTCAACCTAAGGCAAGTTACGGTTGGTCCATGGTGCAACCGCAAGTGAGCTGCGGTTGGCCCATGGTGGAACCGCAAGTGAGCTGCGGTTGCACCATGGACCAACCGCAAGTGAGCTACGGTTGGCCCATGGTGCAACCGCAAGTGAGCTGCGGTTGGCCCATGGTGCAACCGCAAATGAGCTAAGGTTACCTTTTTTGTTTTTTTTTTCAAATTTTTTAGTGAACTTTACCGATTCAGAGTCGCTAGTCATGCTCCAGATATCATATCGACGATTCCAACTCCAGAATGACAATGATGGATTCTCTCTTTTGAATATTGTTTTTTTTTTACTAAGTTGTGTTTGTTTGCTAAAGAAAGAGTAAAGAAGCTAAAAGGTTAAATTTGTAACTTTGATGTTTTTTAGGGCGACATTTATTAATTTTAAGGGCGACCTTTAACCACTCTTTTTTAATGCCGCGTTTACATTTTGTCGCTCTGACCCAAAAAAAAAAAAAACTCTCATCGACGAGTGGCTTGCCTTTAACGAAATAGAAAGGGAGGAAAAATGTATATAAATAAATAGGTAGTGGGGTCCGTTAGATTCTTGCAATAATTGACGAAGACCATATACACATAAACGTGAACATGGTGTTTGAACTTTGAAGTAATCTTCTGCACTGCTTTTATGGTTTTAGTGGATTAGTGATTATATTTGCTTAAAATTATTGTTATGAGAACTCAACCAATCCGCCGGCTGAATTACTAGAATTATCAAACCAATTATAATAACGTTTCTGGTTCATTTACTTAAATAGTTAGTGATAGACCGAATGGTTTTTAACGATTTGACATAAAACTATATGAAATCACCCATATTTAACTGTTTTACTGTTTCACTATTTGAACCATTAAATAATTGAAGAAAGAACATACTTTAACATAAATTAAAAACCATCTAACTTCAATTACTAATTCTATTATTCCTGCTTCCTTTTCTTCATTTTTCAACGCGCCTCATTGTTCGGTTTATGTGGTCCACTCCTACGGATTGACACCTTAATAAAAATTTCAACGCGCCTCATTGTTTGAATAATTTGTTATAACTTTTGGATGGGAGCTATGGATTTGAAATTGTTTATGTTTAGTGATAAAATCAGTTATATAATATATAATATATATGTCTTCATGTTATTGCATGAACGGTTTTAATTTTTATCAACGGTGAACCAACGATTCTGTAGCAACTAAAAATTAAACCACAAATCACTGACTTTTCTGGTTCAAACTCCCGGCGATCCGGTTACGAAAAGATAGCTTAAAATTCTTTTAACGCTTTATTCTGCTAAATGATAATGAAGAAGTCGCTTATTACTTACCATGACAAGGCCTTTGATAATTTGGTCACTGTAGTTCTCGGGCTCCGACTCCTGCAGCGCAAGCAAGTGGTCAATCATGGTGTTCCTCCTACGCTCCTCAATCAACTTCTGCAAGAAGGAATCCGTCCTCCCGGCCAGCTCCCTCGCCGTCCTCTCCAACTTCCCGCCGTCGATCCACCTCAGCACCGCCCCGAAATCCGCTCGGTTGCTCGCACCGGCACGCGCCACCACCTCCTTGATCACCTCCCTAAAACCCCTGGCCTCCTCGTCGTCGCTGTAGAACCTCTTCCCGGCCACCATCCTCATCATCGTGTCGAACGTCAGCTCCTAGTGTTATTGAAAAATCAGAATTCGGCGGAAATTATTGTGTCTTGTTACAAACAGGGTTTAAATAGTGTGTAATGACAGATTCCTATAATCAGTGGTGTAACCAGAGTTTGAATGGATTGGGTTCCTTAAAAATTTTGAGTTAATTGGGATCCTTACGTAAGGTAGTATTGATAAAAGTATAGAGTCCTACACTTCAAAAATCATGCTAAAACGCATATATTAAAAAAAAATTCATACCCAAATTTTTTTGTCTAATAATAACCCTAAGACTAATACGAAAAATTATCTAATTTCTAGGACTATCATAATATGACAAATTACATAACAATACTCATAGTATAACATACTACTACTCGTACTTCACATAATCTAGTACCTGGAACGCCGACTTCATCTCCACCACCGCCGGGCCACCGTCGGTGCGGCGAACGAGATTGGCGACGAGGCGGCGGACCTCCTCGCGGCGGATGGGGAGGGAGGCGGCGAGGCGGTGGGCGGAGAAGATCTCGAGTGAGCCGATGCGGCGGAGGTTGCGCCAGTGGCCGCCGTAGGGGGCGTGGGTCATGGTGGTGTAGTTGTAGTGGATGTGTTTTGCCATGGTGAAGCGGGGGCGGTTGGCGAAGGCGACGTCGTTTTTGGTGAAGCATTCCTCGGCCAAGGCGGCGGAGGAGACGACGACGGCGGGGCGGGTGCCGAGGCGGAGGGAGAAGATGGGGCCGTGGCGTTGGGCGAGCGCATGGAGGATGCGGTGGATTGGGGGTTTCATGAAGCCGGAGTGGCCGAAGATTGGGAGCCCCCACGGTGGGCTGGGAGGGAGTTTCCGGCGGCCGGAGTTCGTGGATTTGAGTGCTAGGTAGGTTAGGGAGAGGAAGAAGAGAGGGAGGAGGAGGAGGTAGTAAGGAATGGTGTGGGAAGAAGCTCCCTCCAGCAGGTCGATCATGGCTTATCCTTTGTGTTGGAAGTTGGAACTGAGGAAGCTAGCTAGTGAATCGAGCCTGCAGCTTTTATTCTGTTTGGTTCCAAGCTTTGGTCAAATATTGTATTAATATATTTGTTTTTATCTTTTAGCAGTACCTCGAATGCTATAATATGCATGAAAGTTGATTATTTTAAACATATCAACTACATATATAAAAGTGTATATGTATCTCATTTCATCACCATTTAACAATACATATCAATTTCATTTTGTTACTTGTAGTATGTTTATGGGTTGCGTAATTGTCCTACGTTATAGTTACTTACTTTATCTGTTAATATGCTTTTTAGGCACCACATTTTTCGATTTGTTGTTATTAATTATACTTGACATTTTTTTTTCTAATTTATTTTGCACGAGTGTTGATACCATCATTTGTTTTTATACATTTTGAGAATGGTTGGTGTAGCTGCTTGCAGAGGAGAATATTTGCGTTTGTATTTTTAAATTTTAAATTTTGAAGAGAATCAATTTGGTATTTGGTATATACTGATAGCGAACAAAATATTTAGAGATTGAGATTGCGATACCAAAATTTATTTTGAGATTGAGATTGAGTTTATGACACTATTTGGTATTCGAAATCCAATATTTTGTACCGGGATACCAAAATCTATACTTACCTACTAGCTTTGAGCCCGACCAATTGGCCGGAATGTGATTTTTCTTTAAAATAATTTAGCTTTTACTTCACGACAATGTTATAACACACATGAAATTGTTGTGCATTACTATTATGATAGTAAAAACTAAACATTGATAGAATTTAATAACTTAGTAGAATAAGAAACTTGTCCCGTGAACTTTGGTAGTAAATGAGTACTTCATAGAGGTAGAATCAAATGATATTGATATAGTTTAGTAATTGTCCAAAGCGTGATTCATAAATATATGATTGTGACCATGTTTTTAAAAAACATTTCAACATATATAAAAATAATATAGTCGTGTAGATCACATAAAATATGATTTTTTGACGCAAAAATATCTAAATTCGGAGTTCAAACGAAATGCATACGAATCAATCAAGAATAGTAAGGGGATTGAAAAAGAAGAGAGACTGTGATAGGTGGCAAATTCTAATTGGATTACTGAAAAACTTTAGAATAAAAAATTAAATAAAAAAACTGCTCTTTTAATTTAAACCGTTAGATCTACAAAGAAAAAATAATAAATTAACATGAAAAAAGGATCTATAAAAAAATCTGATTGGTGGGAGGGCTACTGATATGGATACAAGACTGAAATTTTGAAATGGTGAAGAGTAAATGGAGAAAATGCTTATTATATTCTTTAGATTTTCACTCCTATATATGCATAAACATATATAGTATAGCAGTACACAATTTTTTATCCAAAACTTACCAATGTGGATTTGAGCGCTAGGTCGGTTAGGGAGAGGAAAGAGAGAGGGAGGAAGCTAAGTGGTGTGACGTGTGAGACGAAGCACCTTGCAACTAGTAGATCATGACCATTCTTGGTTTTGTTTATGGTGATGGGAATTGTTGGTTTGTAATTTGTTGATGGGGTTGGGGACAACTGTTTTGTAAATGGGATTTCGATAATAGGGAGTAGGGACGGCAGGTAGGAAAAACAAGGAGTATTTTTTTCTCTCCATATAATTATGTATGGTACATAATTTGCATAATAAGATCTGGATTCTTTTTTTTAATTGAAATTAAATTATTTTATTTTTCTTATCTCACGATAACGATGCGTTCTCGATCCTCATGGAGTTGGGAGAGTATCCTTTATGGTCGCCACTTGATCCAACAAGGATTGCACTGCCAGATTGGAAACAGTCAAATTGTATCCATTCAGAGTTCCAGTTGGGTCCCGAAGTTGCATTCGCACACTTCCCCCCACCACCCTCAGATGATTTAGGAGGGTAGTGACCCAACAGTTGCAGATCTAATATGGCCAAGGGAAGGAAGATGAAATATGCAAATACTCAATCACTTATTCCCGCCAGAGGTAGTGCACGCAATCAAAGCAGTCCCGCTACATCGTTAGGATGTTGAGGATTCTCTAATCTTGCATGATACTAGTGATGGAGTATTCATCGTTAAGTCTGCTTATCGCTTAGCGGTCCAGAATCATGGGCAAGGCAGATGGCATCAGACTGTCAGTTGATGGATCGATCAAGCTGGATTTGGGGTCTCCCTATCCCTCCGAAGCTTAAGGGGTTGTTTGGAAGTTGTGATTGTTAAATAGACGTATTGTTGTGGATGCATGTATAATATTATACATGTATTGTCGAATTTGATGCATTGTAGAATACAACCTTTGGTATGTGTGATTGTGTATGTCACATCAGTTAAAAGCTGAGACAAAACGATCTCAACTCAACTATCTCAACAATCCCAACTAAAATTTGAGATATAACAATCACTCATTTTGAGTGATAGTTTCAGTCACATCATAGAAACAATCCATGTATTGTTTCTGCTAAAAAAATGATGCATTCTAAACAATACATGTATAGTAACAATCTCAACAAAACAATACCTTTAAGATCTTGTCTCCCTATTTGCTTACCATTGCTATGGAAGTGTTGGATGGTCTTCTGAAGAAGGAAGCTATTGAGAATCAAATTCCTTATCATCCTAGGTGCAAACCCCTAGCTATCACGCATTTGTGTTTCGCTGATGATCTATTAGTGTTCACAAATGGTTCTATTAGGGGTGTGGCAGGTGCTAAAAGATTGCTTGATGAGTTTTATAGTTTGTCTGGGTTACGATGCAATCCTGGGAAGTGTCAACCATGGATAAGCTTCTAGCTTGGGGGAAGCCTGTTTCAGGTTTCTGTGTGATGTGCCCAGGAGGTGTTGAGGATTGCTTTCATCTGTTTTATGTCTGTCCTTTTATGCAGTTTGTGGTTCAAAAGTGTATGCTCACTCTCGCTCCTGTTGCTGGTTTGAAAACATGGGAGGAAGTGGTGGAGTGGTATCCAAGCCAATAGAAGGGTAGAACTCTTGAAGCTATTGTCAGCCGTGTTATTTGGAGCCTTGTTGTAAGTCTAGTATGGAGAGAACGTTATTCGCGGGTATATGGGGTGGCAGCTGTTCGTGCCCCTGAAGTTTTGTGTCGAGAAGTCTGTCGAATTTTGCTTTGGAGGGCTGAAGGTGATATAGATTTGCAGAAGAGTCTTCATGTTATTGGTCTGGATAGATAAATATATGTATATGTTTACCTTTACATGAACGGTTGTATTTTTTTGAGAGGCTCTCTAAGGAGTTTTTTTCATTACTTTGAGAAGCTTGAGCTTAATGCAATTTTTTATTAACAATAAAAAAAGTATTCACTCGCATTCTCCCAACCACGGAAGCTCTGATCGAGAAGGAGGTCCAAGTTCTACCTCGATGCCCAATATGCTGGGATGACGGAGACTATGGAGCATCTCTTTCTCGATTTTCCAGTGGCGAAGGCAATACAGGATCACGTTGGCCTATATAAGGGCTCCCTCGCCAAAACTTCCCCATCTTAATCAACCCCATTAGGGTATGACTGTTATTATCGCTCTCTAGCGGATTTGGGAATTCAGGAATTGAGTTGTCTTTGAAGGGAAACAATTTTGTGTTATATCTTTGATGCAGCTGTATCATCAACTAGTCCAAGATGGATGGGTTTGCCAACTAACAGAGTGACCTCATTTTCCTCAACCCAGATTGAGAGTATGAATGCTCTAACTCTTTTCTTGGCCATCTGCATGTGGGATGGTGCAACAAGGAAGGGATCACAATCGGCGGGAGGAATAATTATCAAGGACCAGAGTGGCTCGATTGTCTTGGCTCGGGGAGTACATATTGATTATATTGACGACCCACCTACAGAAAAACTTTTAGTGGTCATCGAAAAGATAAACTAGACTAATGCACAAGATAATCACTCTGGAGTCGTTTTGGAGGAATTTCATGGTTTGCTGGCAAATTATAATAGTCTTAATGTACGATTTGTAGGTCGAAATAACAATCGGGTAGCTCATTCGGTAGCTAGAAAAACCATTTCTTTGTATCTAACTACATGGCACTCTTTGTATCTAACTACATGTTCCATTGCCCGCTCTGTATGCCCGCGGGTAAAACCTGGACCCGCCCCATTAACCTTTATGGGCAAAAAAATTGGACCAAGCCCAAAACCAACCGGGTATCGGTGAACCCGCAGGTCATTGGTTACCCGTGGCCTGTCTAGAAATAGAAGCCAACCAAGTTCCTGAAAATCACTAATCATTACCTGAATTACTGAAAACCAAGTTCTTAACCAAGTTCTTATAACATTCAACAAGAAACCATGAGCTGCAAACCCAGAAACCTGACTCAAAATCAACAAATAACAATCTGACTATAAATAAACCCAAAAATAAGAAACTCAAACCCAGAATTGAAACCCACAGAGTGTAAAAAAATCCCAGCTTATAAACAACCATGAACTGCAAACCCTCAAATTTGACTCAAGATCAACAATCTGACCATAAATAAACCCAAAAATAAGAATCACTCAAACCCAGAATTGAAACCCACAGAGTGTAAAAAAATCCCAGCTAACAAACTTATGAAATAACACTTCGAGTCTGAAAGATTGAAACACAAAAAACTATGACAGAAGCCATTCTGAAGAGCAACAATCAGTGTTGAATCTTCACTCCTAAGTCTCTCTTTCTCGTCCTTGCATCTCCTTTCAATGAGATTAAGATTTCCTGAATTCCAACAACATTTACAACTTCAGATTACTATGTTCAGCAAGGCTTTATTAAAATTCCAGCAGTAGCAAAGCTTTAGCAGTAAAAAAAGAAACAGAACACACACCAACAGCTAGTCGAGCAGGTTGACTGCAGCAACCTCGTCTTCATCTCCTTCCAGCTCCTTTTGCATTCCAGCTCCATCTGATACATAACAGTGTGTTTAGTAAAATTCATAGGCGAACTCAATAAACAAATTACAACAAGAGAAGACAGTTACCTGTGCTCTCTTCCACCGTGGCATCATCCATTGCCATAGCAGAGAAAACTCCCTCCAATGCTTTCAATTCAGCAGCAGACACTAGGAGCAATAGCAAGATTCAAGTAAACAG